TTTGTTTTTCTGCGCATCCAGCTGGTCGACCAAGCGTTGAGCTGGTCTTGAAGACTGCGAGAAGACAATGCTGAGCGCTTTGCTTGCTGAAGCTCCTGGGTAGCCGTCTTGACCAGAGGATACTCTGGGTCGAGGCCCGACCGTCTGAGGAAACTGAGGTGCTCCTGAGCAAAACTGACGGGGTCGGGCGGCTGCTGCAGCTGTTGCTGCTGCTGCTGCTGCTCACTGCCGGCGGCGCCATGGCCGCTTCCTCCGGGGGGTACTGAGGCTGCTCCTTGGGCATGGCGATGTCCACCCCCCACGCTGGTGGGAGGAGGGCGACTGAGTGCACGCCTGCCCCAGCGGCCTGATCCGTTGGGGGGGCGGGGCTGAGATTTAGCAGGAGGCAGAGGAGGAGGAGGAGGAGGAGGTGGAGGAGGAGGAGGAAGAGGAGAGGAGGATGAGGAGGCGGGGAGGAGGAGGAGGAGGAGGAGGAGGAGGAGGAGGAGGGGAGGAGGAGGGGCCGCAAGGAGGAGGAGGAGGAGGACGAGGAGGAGGAGGGGGGAGGAGGCGGTGGAGGGAAGAAAAAAGTGGAGGGGGGGGGAGGAGGAGGTGGAGGAGGAGAGGGAGGGGGGTGGAGTGGAGGATGAGAAGGAGGCCGAGGACGAGGAGGGAAGGAGGGGAGAGGATGGAGGAGGAGGAGGAGGAGGAGAGGAGGAGGAGGAGGAGGAGGAGGAGGAGGGAGGAGGAGGAGGAGGAGCAGGAGTAGGAGGAGGGGGGACGAGGAGGAGGAGGAGGAGGAGGAAGGAGGAGGGGCAGGAAGAGGAGGGGGCGATGATGATGATGATGATGATGATGATGATGATGATGATGATGATGATGATGTGATGATGTGATGATGATGATGATGATGATGCTGATGCTGATGATGATGCTGATGCTGATGCTGATGCTGATGCTGCTTCTGATGATGAAGATGATGATGCTGATGATGATGATGATGATGTCGATGATGATGATGATGACGATGATGATGATGATGATGATGATGATGGTGATGATGCTGATGATGAGGATGATGATGATGATGATGATGATGAATCCGATGATGATGATGATGATGATGATGATGATGATGATGATGATGATGATGATGATGATGATGATGATGATGAGGAGGAGGAGGAGGAGGAGGAGGAGGAGGAGGAGGAGGAGGAGAGGAAGGAGGAGGAGGAGGTGGAGGAGAAGGAGGAGGAGGAGGAGGGGCAGGAGGAGGAGGAGGAGAAGAGGATGTTTGCACCGAGCGCTCCAATGAGCTCAAGGGGGAGGGGGGGAGGAGGAAGATGGGCCACCCCGCCCTGTCCCTCGAGAGCCTTCTTGTTGGAGGCCTTCGCGCGGGCCGAGGTGCCTGGGAGCAGGCCTCGCTGCAGCTTCCGCAGGTTGTCTTCCCCTTTGGAAGAAGTCCGATTCGTGCACTCTTGGGCGAGGCCTTGGATGTCTCTGTCCATCCCAATAGCCCCACAACTGGTGCACGCCCACCCGTCAACGTGCTCGAAAAACTGGCACGTGTGTGAGTCGTGCACCGTCTGATTGCCGATTCGAATAGGGTCCTGGGAGGACGCGGAGGGGGCAGCAGCGGAATCGATCGGGGTGCAGGGGGTTGCAAGCCATTCAATAACCCCCTCCTTGGAGGGCTTATGACGACACAACCTGCAACTGAACCGAGCTTCCAGAAGTTGGAGGCCGTCCTTACAGGGGGAAGCCTGGACGGCCTTCTCGAGCTTGCTAAGGCCAGCCTTCCGAATGCCACCGAGAGGCCTGGCCCTCTCTCTCTCTCTGGGCACGGCTGTCATGAGGCGCAGACGCACTGAGAGTGGCCGCGAGACGGATTCTGACCTGCTCAGCAAGTGAATCGATGGCCAAAACATTCTGGGCTACCTCGGGATCTACCTGACACTGGCCCGCTTCCCACGAAGCGGCCCGATCGGCCTCCACATTGGCGAGGCGAGACACTTCAGGGAGACCACTCGCGCTGAACCTTTCTGCATTAACATGGTTCTCAAGTTTACAAATATTAAGCAGACCTTGTCTGGATTCGGCCACCTGGGACAAGGAAACCACACATCGAGATTCGACTTGGGCCGACCGCCAGTCAGGATTTTAAACCAACCTCGGACCACGTAGGCCGCATCGCACACATAGCTCAAATCCCCCGAAAGCTGCTGCAAACATCCAGGGAAGCCCAAAGCTCGGCTCTGTTACTGGTCTGTCTGCGGCCAGCGAGGGGGGCACTCCGACGGCGCAATGTCTCAACGTCCATTCTCCTCGGGTTTAGCTCGACCCACGCCCAGGCACATCGCCTCAGCTTTGGGTCCTTAGCATTCTCACCACCCGACCCGTCCCCCGCGACGAGGCGACCCACAATCGCAGCTGGGGGTTCGCTGCCTCCGAGGGCCGCTCCTCCGCTAGCTTCACAATATGGGTAACTGACGCCGTGCAGCTCAACTGCATCAGGGGGGTCAGGGATGGACACGAGGGTGGACAGAATCATGCCACGGAGCAAGAAAGAAATTGTTGAATTCTGATCAAGAGCTGTCTCAGCAGCTTCTACAACGTCGTCCACATCTTGACACTCTGGAATGTCAGAATTACAAGGGCATCGCCAGACTCGATGCTTGAGACTTTCTGGGGCCTTGCGGCACCTTGGACAGGTAGAATCACACTGTTGCACAACACAACACTCTGCAATGCGCTGCCTGGGCCACATGCCCGCAGATGCGGCACACTCGATGGCCGCCCGACGTTCATACTCCTGGGCTTTCTCGAGCGCAGCTAACTGTTGACGCAAACTGAAAAGATCGACGCCATCCTCCATACCTCCTCCCAGGTGCTGGGTGGACGCGCCTGCCCACAGCTTCCTCTCCACGGTCTTGTGGACGGCAGCCAGCAGGTCGGAGGGGTCGAAAGAAGCCAGAACAGCGCGGAGAGAAACGAGATCTTGGACGGGGGCCTCCCAGCGCTCATCAAATGGATCACGCCACTCGAGGAGCCCAGGAGTGTCCAATCCAAGAGACAAAAGGGTGGTGATAATGGCAGAGATAGGGCCTCGGATTCGGAACCACCTGCAGTTGGCTGGGATGGTGACGATGCGGCGATAAACTCCCCCCCAAGCATCTCGGAGGCGCTCGATCGGGGCCCCGTCCATCTCAAGATAACGGAACCACTCCACCAACAACTATATAACAGCACCATCCGCGGGCCTGGGATCAGGGGCAACGATGTCCACCAGAGACAGAAGTACCACTACCACCAGCCAGGGGGTTGGCTGTCCCAACCTCTCGAGCTGGTGGCACCTCGCTCCGGGCATGGCTCCAGGGAGTCCCTGGAAGGAGGTGCCACCAGCTCGAGGGGAGGGAGCGGCCACCCCCATGACTAGTTAGCTGGTGGTAGTGGCACTTCCTGTCCCTCCTGAGATGTGGGATGGGCACCGGAGGGGCATGCGTCGACCCCCTGCTCGGTGATCGCCGATAAGGGACCCGATGACAGCATGCGGATTCCCAGGCGGGGGTCCCTCGCCGATCCATGCGCGATGTATCTCAGGAGGGGAAAAATCACACAGACACAATTATTCGTCGATTCCTAGGAAAATATGGGGAAATATAGGAAGTGGGAAGGAAGACAGAAACCCAGAAAATATAGGGAAACATGGGGAATCTTTTTATTTGTGTGTATTTATTTGTGTCCCAGGGCCCCCGATGCTCACCCCCTGCGCAAGTCCCCCCCCCCCCTTGCCGTTGCCACCGGGAGCCTCCACGCGGATCGTACACAGACGTGCGCGCGCCACCAGAACACGGCGACGAGCCGTGTTCGGCAGTCTTCGGCTCCGGGGGGCCCTCGCCGGGCCCCGGGACCGTCAACAAACGGGCTCAAGATGAAGGGCCCGACCCTGGGGAATGGGTCCGGGACTCCCGGGGAGCCCGTGCCGGACAGCAGCTGGGCATCGCACGTCTGCGTTTCAGTCGGGCACGTCCCTCTACAGGAGGACGATTCAAACACAGTCAAAAATAGTCTGGGGACTACTGTTTGACTATTCTTGAGCATGTTGGGATTTTTGTAACTTTGCAAATGTTAAGCCCGTGGAGGACAGGCCCGACTTAAGTCTGGGTATGTTCTCCCGTCTTTCCCCGTCGGACGTTTTTCTGATCGCCGCGTCCTCGGTGAAGGGCCGCCGCCCAGGGAGGGCCCAGAGGCGCCCCCAGAGGCCCCCAGGCGCCTCTCTCAATTTGGCCTTCTTTCCCCTGTATGCTGTGCGGGCTGGTAGCGAATCTGGGTGAGTTGCCCCTCCTCTCCTCTCCTCTGTTTTTCCAGCTGGTTCCCATCGTGTGTCCCTCCCTCTTCCGTGTTTCCTCTTCACCCTCCCTCACTCTCCCAGCTGCTTACGTCTTGCGATGCGCCCTCCCTCCTTCTGTCTCTGTTCTCTTATCCTCCCTCCTTCCCTATCCGTGCGCTTCCCCCCTGCCCTCCACGCTGCCTCCTGATCTCTGGTTGCGCTCTCATCCTCATTGCGGCTCCTCCATCCACTGCCCTCGTCTCGTTCCTCATCCTTCCTCAGTTTCGCAAAAGGGGTCCGACAAGGTGCAGATCCATGAAACCCGCGCGGAACGTCGAACGTCGATGTTTATGTAGCTCTTGTTTGGGGTTAGTATTCACGAACCACGGCTACCGAGGCCTTAGGAAGTAGCACGTTAGCGGTCTTGCTGGCGGCAGCTCGACGGACGCCACCCGAAGTGAACGCGACCCAGCAGGATACATCAACGTGATGTGTCCACGGAGTTTCTGGAGTTTGCTATGAGTTGTGGTACGGCTCAGCCCATGTCGCGCGCACTCGCCCTGAGTCACACTGATGTTCTAAAGTCTCAGTGTGTTCATACCTCGTGCGGCGGAATTCGGTCCGCCAGATCCACGCACGCGTGCGCGACGGTGACTTGATGAATCTTCGCTCAGTCACGCGGCGCTGCCAGGGATGGTTATGGTGCCGCTGCTGTTCCGCGCGCAGCCGAAAGAAGGCTCCGGCCCCTCCGCGCTTCTTCTGCCAGATGCAGGTCGCGCAGGCCCTTGTGTTCTCGACCAAGCCACCACCACCCCTCCCACAGCCAAGACGCGGAGGCAAGGCACAGCTCGGGCTCGGAAGAGGCCCGTTGCACCTTCGGGTCATTCCTCGCGTGTTCCTTCCTGGTGCTTCTCGTCAGACCCGGGCACCTTTTTCATGAGCTGGCAACTCGCACCCATACTTATCGGCGGCGAGCGAGGGGGGGAAGTGAGAAGGGGCGGGCCTTCTCAGGAGGTTCGGAATTCCCCCGGCCTTCTGAGAAGTTATCTAAGCCTTCCACGAATACACACAAAACCTTTCAGAAGGCGCGAGGACTTCTGAGAAGTTCCACCGCCTGCTGAGAAGGCCTTCTCCTTCTCACTTCCACCCCTCGCTCGCCCCTCTCGAACGGGAGCCCCCCTCGGGGTCCGACAGCTCGCACCCATACCCCAATCCCTGTAGCGCCTTCATCGCCTTGCGCTTCCTCGTTCCCCCTCTCTGTAGATTTGAGCGCGTGTTGTTCTTTCATTCCCTGATAGCGTTCCGCCATAGGGCTCTCATGGAGGTCAAGAAGGACCAAAGCAGGTCATTTATGTACCGCATCTGATCAATATCGTCCTTCCCAGACGCCCGACGTCATGATTTGTTTCATAACGTCGACCCTCCAGGGTCTCGACCCATTCCCCTGGACCGCTTTTTCATCCTGAGTCGTTTTTTGACGGTCCCGAGGCCAAGTGAGGGCCCCCAGAGGCCGAAAATATGGAGAAACCTCCCCTCATGATTTTTTCATTGCCCGAGGGGGTCTGGGGCGCCTGACCAACATCGTCCTTACGCGATGGTAGAAATACAGTCAAAGCGCCTAGTAAGGACGCGCGCCTTCATCTAGGATGCTCTTGCGTCCTTGCCTCTGTGGCCCGTCCTTTGCTGTTTTCACTGGTCGCCGCCGCCCAAAAAATCCAAACTTCAGCCTCCAAGGGTCTTGCGTCCTTACCACGCGTCCTTAATATACGTTTTGACTGTAGGAAGGACCACGGAATAGCCCCACGCCCCCCCGGGATTGGTCCGAGCGTTTCCCCCCCCCCCCCCCCCCCCGCACACACAATTCGGTGCGGAGGCCTTGCGGCGAGTGCCGCCGGGGGGGACGACGACGACGACGACGACCACGACGACGACCACGACGACGACGACGGTGACGGTGATGGCGACGACGACGACGGCGATGACGAGGACGGCGACGACGACGGCGACTACGACGACGAAGAAGACGGCGATAATGCATTCTTGACAAATAACAAAGTTTCGGACCGATCGAACTCTTAGTATGAAACCTTGAAGTTCTTGGCCGTTGTTGACTCTGCTTGTAAATTTCTCATGGTGGGCATGTTGCAGCATTTTCTTTGGATAATTCGGAGGGGATGGAAGGAGGGAGAGGGGGGTGCGAGGAGGGTGGGGAGAAGAGGGAGAGAGGAGCGAAGGGACCACAGAGGGAGTAGGGAGAAGAGAAATTTGGAGGAAGGAGGGGTAATTGTTGATCATGTAATCGTAAGACGGGTGTGCGCGGCACCAACAAGGCGGGAGGTGATAAGGACAGGTGATAAGAATATTACACCTACGATTCGAACTTGAACGGGGGATAAAGTTCGATCCCCCCCGCCACTCCTTCGCCGACCAAACGTGGCTTGCCCTGAGAAAATCCACATTCGAGGTCTCAAGGGGGGGGACACTTACGTATGCAGGGCACGCGGCTATCCGTTCTTTGAGACATCGTGGTATCCAATGTACAGGTCGGACCACTTGCAGCTGGCTAGCTGGCTTGTTTGGACAGCGACGTGCTAGCCACTTCTGCCACTGCGTCTGTTGCCGTGCTTCCTCTTGTGGTTGGTCTGTATTGTCGAGCTTGTTGTTGTTGCTGCCGATCCTCGTCATCGTCGCCCTCCTGCGTCTCCGTGTTCCTCCTGCTTCACTCGTCATCTGACCATGCTTCTTCTCTCACCGCCCTCCCCCTCCCCTCTCCCGCGCCCCCAGTCCGTCTCTTTCTGCTGCTGTTTCTCCTACTCCTCGCTGTAGCCTTGTTTCTGGCTCCCCGTGCCCTCCTCCCTCCTATCCGACATTAATGTTCATCTGTCTTGCCGCCTCATTTTTCTACGACAAGCCTTTTTTTTATTCAAACGCATACACACGATTCATCATTTTTTCTCGGTGTTGTTAGATTTGGCGGAAACACGTCGGTGCCAGTCATGGTGGCCAGACACCGCTCCCCACCCTCACGCATCGGTCGTTGAAAGCAAATCAATTGTAGGCCCCTTCCTGCTTCAACGATCGAGCGGCTTCACCTTATCAGTCCTCGTCAGGGGGGCGGGCGGACACCCAATCTACTTCAACGCCTTCCGACTTCCGGCTTCTGCCTACTTCTTCCGACCGATGGGTACGCGAGGGGCACCAGGGTGCCGGGGTTCAACTGCCCAATTGTCCCCCATGCGCCTTCTGGCGACGTCGCGGGCTCCGCCGACCCCGGCAGGTGGCGCCCTGCGTCTTCTTCCTCCTTCTCCTCCTCCTCCTCATCATCATCATCTCATTCCTACTCTCATCTTCGCCCTTTGTTTCCCCTTCTCCTCCAAATCCTTCCCCTCCTCCTCCTCCCTCTCCTCCTCCTCCTCCTCCTCCTCCTCCTCCTCCCTCCTCCTCTCCACCCCATTCCCCTCCTCCTCCTCCTCCCGCTCCCTCCCTCTCCTCCTCATCCTCCTCGCCTCCTCCTTCCTCCTCCTCCTCCTCCTCCCTCCTCCTCCCCACCTCCTCCTCCTCCCTCTCCTTCTCCTCCTCCTCCTTCCTCCTCCTCCCCCTCCTCCTCCATATGTCATTCGTCATGGGCATTATCATTAAATCATTATCCTCCTCCTTCTCCAACCTCCTCTCTGTTCATCCTCCTCCTTCCTCTCCTTTGATGCTGCTCCTGCTAACTCCTACGCCTCATACCTACTTCCACCCCTCCCTCCTCTTCCTCCCCCACCTCCTCCTCCCTCCTCCTCCTCCTCCTCCTCCTCCCCCTCCTCCTCCATATGTCATTGTCATGGCGCGTTATCATTATCATTATCCTCCTCCTTCTCCGCCTCCTCCTCCTCTTCCTCCGCCTTCTCCTCCTCCTCCTCCTCCTCATCCTCCTCCCCCTCCTCCGCCTCCTCCTCTTCCCTCTCCTCCTCCTCACCTCCTTCTCCCTCTCCTCGGGAGATGCTTTGCATCGCTCGGACGTGTTTTTGTTGTTTTCCTCGGCGAGTGCCATTGAAGAGCATCTCGGATCACCCAGCAACAAAACAAGCCCGTACGACACCGCAACATGCACGGGGGGAACGGACGTCCGAGCGACGGCAAGAGAGAGGGGTCGGGGGGGGGGGGGGGGGGGGGGGGGGGATAACCGGTTATGTGTGTGTGTGTGTGTGTGTCCGAGGCCGTCGTGCAGTCTCTTAGATCTCACGGTCCCTCATCTACAGTTGAGGCCCATGCCAAGCAACATCTTGCTTGCCTTCAGGGTGCCCTGGGCTTCTTTGACCGATGGCTTTGCTGTGGAAAGCGTAGAGTTCCCACACCAAAAAATCAATGGACATCCTGGGGTCTCAGGGTTGGGCTTCTTGTGAGAGGTTTCCTGTGGACCGGCCTCCACTATACCTCTTTTGATGCGCGCCTGGCACCCCCGTCGTCCGCGCACGCGCCTCTGGCCATGCGTCGGCCACGCGCAGAAGGGGGGTAGGGGGAGGGGGGAAGGCGTCTTAGAAGCGCCCCTGCTTCGCAGAAGGCGCGTGCCTCATCTGTAGTATGGTGCAGGCGCTTGTTAAGGAATAGTCCCAGGAGTCGCCAGACCCTTGATGAGAATTCCTTATCCAGTGACGGCGGCGGTGATATCCGTGGCCGATCCACGATTGGAGTCCCACTGGCTTTCAGACCCGGGATTCCTTATCTAAGGATTCCTTTTTCCAATGCCCACACCGTATAGGCGTAGGGCTGGCGAGCCCCTTTTGTGCGCGCCGACAGTCAATCCTGCCCCTCCTCTCGTCCTCCTCCTCCTCCTCCTCCTCCTCCTCCTCCTCCTCCTCCCCCTCCTCTTCCTCCGCCTCCGCCTCTTCCTCCTCCTACCCCTCCTCCTCTGCCTCCTCCTCCTTCGTCCCTCCTCCTCCTCCTCCTCCTCCTCCTCCTCCGCCTCCTCTCTCAGCGCGCCCGATCTTCCGTCCATCCTCCCCTCGCCTGGCACGGGAGCGCGCCCCTCGGCCGCCGCATCCCCCCGCGAGGCATCAACTACGACGTGATCTTCGGGGCCCACTGCGTGGGCTCGCTCGTGTGCCTAGGCTGCCGGCGACGTCTGCGAAGAGGACGGGGGCGAGGAGGTGCGTGCAGAGATGGGGGAGGTTGCGGATCGGCGGCGCGCCCAGGGGGGAAGTGAGAGGGGGAGGAGCAGGAGGAGGAGGAGGAGGAGGAGGAGGAGGAGGAGGAGGAGGAGGAGGAAGAGGATCCGTGGCCATTATGGCTCAAGGCCAAACGTTGTGAAGGGCTATAGACGCCCGGGAATCAGCGATTAGCTTTGGACCCCTCCGCAGCCTGCTTGGCTTGGATGGCTTGGGGCGCTGCCCGTGTCACGATCGTTCCCATGCAGGCGTTTCTCTCGGACACGGCCCTCTCTGTTGAGTCATGTCGTCCTTGTGCCCGTCTTGCAAGTGCAAGGTTTCGAACTGCACTACACCTGGTGCGCGCATTGCCGGCAGCTTCTCCCGAAAGTTCAGCCGTGTGATGATCGCGGTGCTAGTGTTGCTGGTGCCAACTGGGGTCGACGTGCTGCTGCTGGTGCTAGGCTCGAGAGGCGCTGGCACGCCCATTTCGGGTGCCAAGGCGCTTGGTAAGCAGCAGGTGCAGGTTTTTGCAGCCATGTCCGACGAGCACTTAAGGCAAAGTTCGAGGCCGTGGGCACGAAGCACGAGAAGGCGGCGCACATCCCCAAAAAGCAGTTCCAGCGGGTGGCCGAGCTCACATTGCAGCAGTCGCCCTTGCTCGACCAGGAGCGGTCCGCGGCCGAGAAGTCCCAACAGGCGTGGGCTCAGATTGCGGGAGCTGGATCGGCAGGGGGGGCCACCGAGGACTCACCTGATAAGTTGCTCTTTCAGCGCTTCAGCGCGCTCGACCCGAACCTCGCCATGCAGCTCAACATTCTGTTCACGGCCAAGGCGCAGGCTGAGAGCTATCGGGCAGCTCAGCGTGTCGCATCCGCTCCTCTCCTCCGTGCTGCTTCTGCGTCTGCTGACGGTGGTCGCGAGTGGCCCGTGGGTGCGGATGACGAGGGGATGCCTGACGGCGACGACAGCTTCGACGTTTCGTGGGCAGACGCCGCCAAGATGCAGCAGGTCGCGCTCGCCACCCTGGGCAACATTGAGATTGCCAAGGACATCGCTGCGGCGAACGGCGCCCAGCAGGTGCACGGCGCGAACGTCATCGACGAAGCGGTGGCACCGCGGCCAGCGCCCCCACGTCTGAGGCCAGGCGCGATGGCTCTCGCTCTCCTCGCGCGGCAGAGCGCGAGCGCAGGCCGTCTATTTAGCAGTGATCAGGCCGCCGCGCTGACCAGCAGCGCGCAGAAATCTCGAGAGCGTTTCATCGGCGCCGCCAGCTTCACCGAATACTTCAGCCTCGAGAGGGTCTTCAGCGGGCTTCCTGGTCTCATGCGCTCGCCGTTTAGGGGGGCCGCAAAGTTTTGAACGCCGGTCATCAGGGCCCCCTCCTTTCGTCGCGACGGGTGCTCTGCCGAGTTTTTGGGAGCGGTGCATGCAGAAAACGGAGGTACCTGAGGGGGGTTGCTTACGTTGCCCTGCGAGATTTTCCCTGGGCGCCGTTCGGCCCCCCGCGCTGTGGGGCGGTGAAAGGTGGTTTTCTCTGGCTCAATATCCATCTGAAGAATGGTGGCGACCCCGCCAACTTCAATCCGCATAATGTAAGGAACTTGAGAGCTGTTCTCAAACGAGCGCACATTCCGTTCACCACAGACGATGGTTGGAATATCGAGCCAAGCGAGCTGGCCTCGTCTGGGTGGGCCTCCGTGCTTGACGCTAGCACAGCGTCGCCCAACACTAGCGCCTGTGCGCCAGCCGGGCGCGCCATCGATTTTTCGCGGTGTGTCCCAACCTCCTGGGTGGGCATTCCACCGGAGCCTTCGAGCATATCCCCACTTCCCCTCACTCGCCCGTAAGCCCGCGCATTGCCGCGGCGTCCAGCGACGCGCAGGTGCGCGCGGTTAAGGTACCTAGGCGCTTTCACGTCGCGGAGCCCGTTGGTTGCGAGGTCGAGCCAGGCGGCAGCATCCGGGGCCATGCCTCGCAAGTGATAGCAGATGCAGACCCGACCGACGCTGCGTGGAATGCGTTTCTCTCTACTGCCGAAAGCGAGCGAGCTAGGATATGTCATCTACCATCGGACGAGTCTGACATGCATCGCGGGCGCGCCGTGCCCATCGAGCCCCGCGTCCAGTCTGCGCGGCGCCGCGTTTATCGGCGTTGGCAGCGTGGTGGAAGCAAGCGCGGTTGGCGAGTGTGGATTCCTGCAGGGCTCAGTATCAAGCCCCAAACAAGTTTTACATGTGGGCCTCCAGCCCCAAAAGGCCCCGCAAGCTCCCCAGTGCCCGCGTTTCCTCATGAGGACCCCAACGTCAGGTGGGCTATTTTGCAGGCCCCCGCTGAACTCATAGAAGCCTGCAAGGGTTGGGCTGAAGAACAGGCCCTACATCAGCACCAGCTGTCAGCCAGACACAAGGAGCGACAGTGGGACGAGTGGATCGACGCGCACTCAGCCAATGACGCCTCTGTTCTTTCTTTTTTAGTGTATGTTCTTCTATTTGTTCCAAAAAGAAAAAAAGCTGCCAGTTGAGCGCCAGCCAGCAGCGCTGGATCATCGCGCGCTGCGGCCCGCCAACAGCCAGGGGCAGGTCGACAGGTTGCGAGCTGAGTGGGAAGGATGGATGGATGTGCGCGATGAAAGACAGCCTTTGGATTGGCCCGACTTCTGGGAGATCGACCCCCCGCCCCCGCGATTTCCTGACTCAAAGTTGCCCTTCGTCCGTTCCCCATCGAGACTGGCACAGGTTTCGACCAGTTGAGTCCCAGGGATTGCCGCTTCTTGCCAGATCACGCGATCCAACAGCTGTTCGACCCTTCGGGCTGCGTGTTCGACCCTTCGGGCTGCGTCGCGTTCCGCGTCGAGTTCGGCGTCGCCTTCGGCCGCCGATGATCGCAGCCTGGCAGCGCAACGACGTTCGCCATTTCTTTCGGGCTACCAAGGGGCGGTCGCCCGAGAAATGCGTCTGGATATCCAGTGCTTGGTTCGAGCTTTGCACCGCCCAGGGGCGCCTTCCTGGGACGACCCTGCTCGTTTTGAAAACTGCGTTCGGGTTCGTTCGGCGGCATCACCTGGTGCAGGCTGCCGTCGTCTCAGGCTTTCCTTTGTTGCAGCTTCGGCTATTGTTTGGCGTTTATCAGCCCCGCGTACTCTGGACCTCCAGGGGCTGCGCAGCGATTCCATTCACGTGAATCAGGCGGTTGTTCCTCGATGCACCCTCGCTACGCTTATGCTTCAGCAACTCCCCCTCGGGCCCCCGGACAGAGTGCGAGCTGCGCGCCGCTCGGCGGCGCTGCCCGCCAACGCGGGCGATTTCGGCCTCCAGCGCTTCGGTGGCGAGGGCCCCGCTGGAGACGAGCTCTGCAAAGCTGCCCCGCTGTGGAGCAGTGAGCTGGCTAGAGTGGGCGCGCGGCCTGCTGTGGACAAGAGCAGAGTCCTCAGCAACCCGAAAGCGCCGCGCACTCACACCGCTCGTGGGCTTCGCAAGCTCGGCGCCCTTGCCGTGGCGACGGAGCGCAACCTCGGGGTCGACTGCGCCGCTGGAAAAGCGCGACCCAGGCGCGCCACCGAGGCCAGGTACACCGCGATCAGGAAACGACGCGGCCGCATGTCCGCTCTGAAGTCAGGGCGAAGGCGCCGACTCCTACGGCACCGACGTCACGGCTGTCGCTGAGAAGGAGCTTAAGACGTTGAGGAGTCCCGCAGGCAAGTTGCAGAACCACGGGCTGGCAGGCAAGCGCCTCGCGTTATCTCTGATGGCTGCCCCCGAAAAGGACCTGGACCTCATCGTCAGGACCACCTGGTTGCCCGCCAAGTTCCCCCCCGTGTCTCCACGAGACTTGGTCGCCCAGACATGTCCGTCAGAAGAGCCTCCAGCAAGTGGATGACCACCTGCGGCCCCTTATCTGCCCATGGGGCCCACTTGGGGGGGCCCTTCACCACTCTGCGGGCGTCTTTGTGGAGAGCAGGTGTCAGGGCTAAGTATCTGGGAGAATGGATATTTCCTGAGGATTGTGTTCTGGGCGTTTCTGAGACGTGCCCAGCTGTTGCGAAGCAGCATGCGCTGCGCGCTGTGCATTCGTGGCCGCGCAAGAAGATAGCAGAGCACGTTGAAGCACCTGAGTTCGCAAACGGCGCGCCCCTGGCCCCTGCGCTCTCTTTCTTCTCGCCCTAGAGCGCTGCCGCAGAAGAGGGGGCGTGTCAGATCTTGTCTCACCGGCGCACAGTGGCCAATGGCAAGGCAACGGTCGGCAGGTGATCCCGTCGGGCCGTTCTGCATAGCTTGTTTAACCGTTGGCACGCGTACGCTTGGCGCTTCTTGTGCACGGGCACTGCGCGTGCACCCAGCGCGCGCCCACGCTCGAGTCCCCGCGTGTTTCGCGCGCCCCACTCGGTGGCGCTGCGAAGCAAAGTTGATTATTTTCGGCGCTCCCTGGTGCTAAGATAACTCTCTGTGCGGGGTGGGTGCGGCACCCTGGCATGGACTACCCCTTACGACGGCCGACCAACATCAAATTTCGCGGGGGACTGGAATAGGGAACGCATAGGACAGGGGCGGCCTGGAGAAAGAGAAAGAGGAGGACGAAGGAGGGAAGGAGCTTTTCACAGGCTAGCCCGTGGGGTGTCGGCAGTTCACCATTTTCTGCGTTGAAGGGTCTTGAGCTTTTGCCGCCAATCCTTACTGTAGATGTCGGTGGCGGGGGGGAATTCACATTGATTTGTTGCGGCTTGGTGCGATGCTACGGATATCGCTGCGCTAAGTCCGCCCCCGCGGAATTATTCATTTTCGCTTCGGTTCTAACGATCACCCAAGGGGGGTTCTTACTGGATTCCCTGGGTTACCGATAACACTGCTCGTCCTGGAAGAGACTCATCGTCGCCACGGCTGGATTATCTGCGACATTTTTTCCAGATCCACCATTGGAAAGGTCTGGGGAGCAGCGGTATCGGTAGCTCATCTGTGCTCACACGTTGGAGGGGGAACTGGCCATTCCCCACCACTTCGCCCTGTTTCAAATATTTTTACCTGTCCCTTCCATTCTCTGCGCCCTTCCCCCCTCGCATCTGCTCCTTCTCTTGTTTCTTCCGCCTCGCCATCCTCTGTCCTCCCTCCCTCCCACTTCCACTGTCCCCTACCCTCCGTCCGCCCACCCATCTCTTTCTTCCTCCATCCCTCCCGCTACTTTTTCCCCTCCTTCCCTTGCGTTCCCTCTCCCCTCTCCGCCCCCGCCTCCTCAGAAGCCGGCCTCCTCCACAGTCCTGGACCCTGCGGCGTGCTTTGCCCCCCTGAAGATTTGCGGCGGATCCCGCCGCGGGGGTTAAGAAAATGCCCCAGGGGGCCCGGCAATGCTCTCACTCAGGCGATCACACACATGGATCAAGGGGGCGTGGATTGGCGACGGATCCCGTTTTCATTGGAAATCGCGGACTTCCGCCGCCGAGCGAGGCGGCACTTGCCGCATTTTGGGGAGGGTACCTCCCCCGATCAATGGATTTGGCGAACACGCGCCACATCCACGTCGCTAATCCATGTTTGCGCGCCCCCGGCTCACGCTCCAGACGACCTCGGCTCGTCGACGCATCGGCGATGCGCCGCTCCCTCCCCTGCCGTCCCCTCGCCTGGCGCGGAAGTCCTTCGCGTGGGGAAGGCCTCTCGGGTCGACGCTCCCCTCTCCCGGGGAGGGCCGGCCCCGTGGGTGCGCAGAGGCTTGTGGGCCGCGGAGCGCATCGGGATGGACTTCGTGAGGGACAGTGCGGCCCTTAGGTGCTGGAGGGGCGCGCCGGCGGAGCCAGGAGGGCCCTGGAGAGGTCCTGGGCGGCGTCCCGAGGCTGATGGGCCAATTTTCCAGAGGAGGAGGAGGAGGAGGAGGAGGAGGAAGAGGAGGAGGATGAAGAGGTGGAGGAGGAGGAGTTGGAGTTGGAGGAGGAGGAGGAGGAGGAGGAGGAGGAGGAGGAGGAGGGAGGAGGAGGAGGCGGAGGAGGAGGAGGAGGAGGTCGGAGCAGATGGGGTCGAAAGGTCGCCGCGTCGCCGATGCATCGGCGATGCGGCTCGATGTGGAGCCCGGTGTTCTACGTGCCGAAGGCGCCGATGCGTCGTCGACGTCGCCGACGTGCGTCGGCGATGCGGCGATTGTGTGAGCCGGCGAGGAGAGCAAACAACGGGGAGGGCCCCAGCAGGGGTGCTCATGAATTTTCAGGAAGGAGTGAACACCCCGACCCTTGACGTCGTGTTTTTTTCACAGCGTCGACCCTCAGAGGTCTGGACCCTTTCCCCGTGACCGGCTGTTCATCCTGGGACGTTTTTTGAAGGTCCCGAGGCCCAGGAAGGGCCCCCCGAGGCCGAAAATAGCAGAAAACTTCCCGTCGCGATAGTTTCTCAACGCGAGGAAGTCCGGGTATGATGAGTGCGAAGGGCGTGGGCCAGAGGTTTGAGCAACAGCACTCGTTGCAGACCAGGATGCGGGGAGCTCACAGACCGTACCCAGTGGGGCGGCGGCGGAACGCTTCGCCCTTGTTTTCGCCGGCCCTGAGCCTGCGGGCCTCTTGGAGGGCGTCTTGGGAGCCTCGTGGGTCGTCTTCGGGGCATCTTGCAGGGCGCTCTCCCCTGCCCGCCCTCTCGTCGCGGGGGGGCCCGAGGGACAGCAGGAGGTCCTCCGGGGGTTCTTTTTGCGGTGTTGTGTTTTTTATATGGTTTATCTGTGTCGCTTGGGTTCGCATCGCGGAGCCTGGCATCGTGTAACTTTGTGCAGCGTTGCAAGGCATGGAATGCACCGGCATACGGCGCAGCATGGCGTAGTACGTCATAGCGTAGCATCCGCACGGCATCAGCAAAGCGGAAGGGAGGAAGGCACAGGCAGGGCATTATTTTGGCCGAGCATCGGTACGACATGCAATGTGGTGCCACGCCATGCCGCTACGGTGGGAAAGTCCAAGCCGTGCGATGGCGTCTCGGCTACGATAAAAAAGTCGGTTATTCTGAGCCCTGCGGTGCCTCCGTATAGCAGGTGTGGCTCGAGGACCTGGGCGCCCGGAGATCGCCGCGGAGCAGTGGCCCTGCCCCGCACCTGGCAGCGGACCGATGGGCAAGGCAGGCCAGGCACGCTGCGTCCACCGCACATTCGGCAAGAGGACAAAGGTGCGGAGCGCGGGCAGGGCCTCGAAGGCCGCCACCCCGCCCAAGCTGAAGAAGGGCCTCGCGGCGGGGTCGGTCCTCATCCTGCTCGCGGGCAGGTTCCGCGGCCGCCGGGTGGTGTTCTTGAAGCAGCTCGAGAGCGGCCTGCTGCTGGTGACGGGCCCCTACGCGATCAACGGGGTGCCTCTCAGGCGCGTGAACCAGCGGTTCTGCATCGCCACAAGCGCCAAGGTGGACCTCAAGGGTGCGGACTACTCGAAGGTCGACGACGCCTACTTCACCAAGGAGGCGAGCAAGAAGAAGACCGCGGCGATGTTCGCCTCTGACGCCGAGAAGAAGGGCATCTCAGACGAGAAGAAGACAGGGCAGAAAGGCATGGACGACAAGGTCGTGAAGGGCCTGGCAGCCGACATGAAGGCATACCTGAAGGCCAGGTTTTCTCTGTCGGACAAGATGTACCCCCATGAGCTGAAGTTCTGAGTGGGCCCGGCCGCGCAGGATGATGATTGCCGCTGCTCTCCGTCCTCATCATCACAATCATCATCACCATTTTCATCATCATCATCATCATCATCATCCTCATCCTCATCCTCATCCTCATCCTCATCCTCATCCTCATCCTCATCCTCATCCTCATCATCCTCATCATCATCATCAGCATCATCATCATCATCATCATCATCACTATCATCATCAGCATCATCATAATCATCATCAGCATCAGCATCAGCATCATCATCAGCATCATCGTTGTTGTCCGTCTGCTGCTGCTGCTGTTGCTCACAGCACTCCTTGCCCTCAAGCTGTTACTGCTGCCCGCCTCCAACTGCTCCTCCCTGTCACTGCTCTGCTGCGCATCTCACCACTGGTGGCGATCAGCTGGAGGAGCGGCTGGGGAGGAGCAGGAGGAGGCGGAGGAGGAGGAGGAGGAGGAGGGGCAGCATCAACATGGTCGTGAAGAGCATGACGAGATAGGTGAGGAGTAGCACCAGCATGAACACATGAACGGGAGGGGAGGAACGCGAGGAGGTGAAGGTGGAATGGCACCACCAGCAGTAGGAGCCGATTGCTCCAGCCAGCCTAAGCAGCCAACCAGCCTGGACCAGCCCGAACGAGCCGAATCTGCCAACCAGCCAGCCAACCCTTCCATCCCCGCCACGTGCCTCAACCGCCGCCGAGGCGGAGGCGGACGTTTCCCTTCCAGCGAAAAATCGTCCCCTCTTGGTTCGGCGGGATTGCCCGGGGGGAGGGGCGGGGGATGGGTGGAAGTCTCACAGCAACGTCGTGGACCCTCCCGCCAGCGCCTTGACTGCCAGGAACTGTAGACGGCTCAGCTGCGACATTGCCGACATCCTTCCAGGTGCACCGCGGCAACTCCCACGACGTAACAGACTTCCCATCCGCGATGCCATTGGCACTTTGCGGGTCTCCAGCGAGGCCTCTCAGAGAGCCTGGCGGGGCGGCCGAGGACGGCCGCATGAAGCGGCAGCATGGGGGGGCGGGCGCCCTCCAGACGGTCGGGGGCCTCCCGAGTGCGACGATGGTTGCAGCGGCCGCCCTCGGCGGACCAGCTCCTATGCTCGACATGGGCGTCACGCTTTACGGTCTCAGTCGGGCTGCTTAGGCCGCCAGTTGGGTCCTCTGGAGGTCTGCCCTGGACGCTTCGCGCAACCCCACCTGTCCCGCCCGTCCAGGTCCAGGGGGAGGGGGAAGGGAGAGGGGTCAAGACACTCTCTCCGTCCGCAAGCTGTCCAGCTCACTCCCACCCACGCTCCCAACACAGGAGTCGCACCTGAGCCTCAGCATGCTCATCGGTCCTCTATGGCTGGGCATGAACGATCAGCTACTGGAAACCAAAGCAGACCCCGTTTGCGCGACGCTGGGCGAGGTGTGCCACGCGCGCCAGGCACCCCCGGCGCGCCAGATGCGCCACATGCTCCACACGCGTCATCTGTGCCGCAGGGTCGAGCTGGGCCGGGCGCGCCCCACTCGGGGCACGCGCAGGGTCTCCCAGGTGCGCCCGCGCACGTGGCAGCACACAGCGGGAAGCACGGCAGGCCCCCACCCTGGTCGAAAGCCAATACACAGTCGCGACGGGGAGGCTATCAAGGTGTCTGGTGGACCTGCGCACAGCGGGCAATCTGCGAGCACCCCCGCCGACCACGATCGCGGGGTGGCCGCGCATGATTCAGAGTTAGCCGCGAAGTGTCTTTGTGTTGTGGTTGGCAGAGATGGTGGTCTTTCGCACAGCAGTCAACATCGCAATACACTCGCCGTCCCTATCAAAGGAACAATGCAGAGTGCTTGCGGCGCCCACGAGCATGGCCCAAGATGTTGCCCCACATTGTCTGTTGGATAGCTTTTTGATCAGGGAGGTCTGTGGGTGTGCTGGCATTGCTCCTATGTGGCTGCAAGTCGCCTGGGGGAGGACAGCTCATCTTAAGAGGAAGTATTGATAAACCCCTCCCCAAAGGGGAAGAAAGGGCAGGGCTCGTTTCGATTCCTCCGATTCGATTCGATTCGATTTCGATGGTTTCCGATTCCGATTCGATTCGACTTCGAATTCCGATTTGGGTTTCGATTTCTTATTGGAGGCACACTAGCCTGCCGATTTCCGCCGATTCGACTTCTCCCGACTCGGCTGCCGATTTCCGCCGATCCGACTCATTTCGATCGCCGATCCGACTTGCCGATTCGACTTTGGGGGCGCCTGGAAGGGGGGGTGAAAGAAGCAACGCTCTAAACCACTCACGCCCCAGAGGGCTTGTGGGATTGGTGCATTCTGTGGCCTCGCGGTGGCTCCCAGGGAGTCCCGAGGCTCCCTTGAGTTTCCGTCGGCCTCGTGCTGCTCCTGGGGCCCCCACGCAACTCCCAGTGCCAGGGCGGGCATGTCTCGGCCTCTCTGGAGCCTCCGGCGGGCAGGGGCCCAGGAAGCTCGGAGCAGGGATCAGTGGGCAGGAGGAGGACGCGGACGGGGAGGAAAGAGGCGGAAGAGGATAGGAGGAGGAGCCAGGATAAGGAGGGAGGAGGAGGGTGAGGAGGCAGAGGACGAGGTGTCGAGGAAGGAGGGAGACAGGAGCAGGAAGCACAACAACTTATGCAACCCGCTACAAGGGAGTGGAGCATCAGTAACAGGCGGAGGGTATGCCACTGATCGAACAGGTGATCATGAGGGAAAAACGTGGGCTGAGGGATGAAGAGACGGATGATGATGATGATGATGATGATGATGATGATGATGTTGATGATGATGATGCTGATGATGATGATGATGCTGATGATGATGATGATGATGATGATGATGATGGTGGTGGTGGTGGTGGTGATGGTGATGATGATGATGATGATGATGAGGAGGAGGAGGAGGAGGAGGAGGAGGAGGAGGTGGAGGTGGAGGAGGAGAGAGGGGTACACTTGATGACAATAGGTGGAGAAGGAACACGGGTGATGAAATAAGCAGTGAGGACGATAGCGGATGCGAGAAGCCGAACATTTGATTTGATCGCCGCCGTCATCTTGTTTCGCCGCCTTGATTTCCTTATCGCCCCTCTCCATCACACTTGTTGGGCTCGCCGAGGCGCATCCACGACTTCTCCATTCCTCCCCATTTATACTCCTC